CGCGCTCTCATCAAGTTCGCGCCACAACCCACTCTCCCCCAGTCACAGCTATATAATGGCAAGAATCGCCCCCCTCTCTGGCGATTCGGCTACGCCTTCGAGTTGGACGTCGCCTTCGAGTATGCCGTCCGACACAAACTCCGGATGCTACCCGGCATTGACAAGGCGGCCGAGGTTCCCACCTTTGAAGAAGTCCTTGCTCAAGAGGGCAGATCGGCGGGTGGTATGACGGCGACCGCCCTCGTAATCATGGCAAAGCACCTTAGCAAGAAGTGCGGCTTCTTCTTGGAAACTACGCGTACGCTCTCGGTTGGCCGGGAGCTCAAGTTCGTCGCCTACCTGTGGTCGAACTACGACTACAACGAGCGGATACGTTTGTGCCGTAATTACGATCTTGTCCTCCACATCCTCGACAAGGCGTTCAAGCCGTTTCCTGGAGCGGTAGCTGAGCCATTCTGGTACATCGATGTGGATAATGATTGTCTGGTACGTCGCAGCATCTGTCTGTGCAATGAATCTTTCTCACATCGAGAACAGGGAATATAGCTCACTCGACCACTAGAAACAGTGCAGCGGGAGCACTTCGCCAGCGTTCTTTGTCCTCTTCTTCGCTCGAGTTACCACAAATTCGTCACAATGCAAATCAACCTTTCCTCTCCACACCGCTTGCGGTACTCCACCCAACGCTTCATAGCGCACCTCAGTTTGGGGTCAAGGTCGACCCATTTGCTATAAGGTTTGCAGTACTTATTACACGCGATGTGGCTCGACATCGCCGGGGTTCGGGTCTTCTTCCAAGAATTGACGACGGTCCACTTCCGTCTTCCGCTGGCGCCTCGTGTTGCCTGAGACGGATATCCTGTCTATGAGATCCTCTGGGGTGGCGAGGCGTCTCGAAGGTGTGGATGAGCAAATGGGGGACCAGTACCCGTCCAGGACGTCGATGAGTTGGTCGTCGCAAATGCCAGGAACGCAGCGACGGCTGTGAACGGGCCTGCCGTGGCGGATGTTGGGTGGGCTTCGAGGGGGAACCGGCGAAACAGACTGACGAGTCTCCGACAGATGACTGGGGCTTTGATGACGACCTCGATGCGGAGACGGAAGATCCCCTATCAGCATCTGCACCACCTCAGCCCGAGCCTGTGTCCCCACTCGAGGAAGAACCAGCCAAGGACCTGAGGCTGGAACGACGACACCGAAGAGATCCCCGACGAGTCGACCTGGGACGATAACTGGGACGAGAAGCACGTCACGCCGGCCAAGGCACCGAAGAAAGCGAAGGGGCCTGCATAGAGCATGTCGAAGGTGGGCATCCCATACACAGCCGTATTGACGACACCGGGCGAAACTTACCGATGCAAGTTGCTTGTTGAAGAGCGAGGTCATAAAATGCAGTCACGAGACTTTAATTTGTAGGCTCGTAAGTTGCTCGCTCGTGAGTCATGGTGACTGTACGCCCGCCTTTACCGCCGTGCGCCAATCAGAGCTGAGATCTGAGACATTGTCGAATGTAAAGGAGTCTCCCCCAGTGACAGAGAATCAGAATCAGTACTTACCTTTGTACGCATCGGTGCTGCATCCAGCTGCTGTTCCACCTGGCAGCGTGTTCACTTCCTTCCTCCCGATGAATCAGCCCACTTCGGTCGACGGCGTGCGTCATCCACCCAACAGCGACGCCGAGTCTGATGGCAGTGACTGGGTTCTTGTGACGCTTCCATCATTGAACTCAAGCTCCGACCAGCTGGCCTCTTCTCTCCCCTCCACCGACAGCGAATCCACCGACAGCAAATCCACCAACAGCGAAACAGATACTCCAAAGGAGCCCGACCCGTGGCTTGAGGCTTTTAATGCAGTGCGTATATATCATTCTCCCGCGCCCCCGTCTCTGTCTTCTGAAGTCTGGTGCGTATGCAGCGTGTCGCTCGCGCTCTCAAGAAGTACGCGCCGCAACCCAGTCTTCCCCGGTCGCAAGTATATAATGGCGGCAATCGCCCCCCTCTCTGGCGGTTCGGCTACGCGTTCAAGTTGGACGTCGCCTTCGAGTACGCCGTGCGACACAAACTCAAGATGCTACCCGGCGATAAGAAGGCGGCCGAGGTTCCCACCTTTGAGGAAGTCCTTGCTAAAAGGGGCAAATTGGCGAGGGGTATCACGATGATGGCCCTCGTAATCATGGCAAAGGACCTTAGCAAGAAGTGCGGCTTCTTGTTGGACACTACGCGTACACTCTCGATTGGCCCGGGGCACAAGTTCGTCCTTTACTTGTGGTCGAACTATGACTACGACGTGCGGATAAAGCTCTGCCGTGACTACGATCTTGTCCTCCACATCCTCGACGAGGCGTTCAAGCCGTTTCCTGGAGCGATAGCTGAACCATTCTGGTACATCGACGTGGACAATGATTGTCTGGTGCGTCGCAGTATCTGTCTGTGCGATGAGGGTTTCTCAGGTTGAGAACAGGGAATATAACTCACTGAAGCACTGGAAACAGTGCATCGGGCGCACTTCGCGGACGTTCTTTGTCCTATTCATTGCTCGAGTTACCACAAATTGGTCACAATAAATTTTCCACTTTTCCTTTCCACCGCTTGCGGTACTCCATCCAACGCTTTATGACGCACCTTGGTTCGGGGTCAAGGTCGATCCATTTGCTATAACCCTTGCGGTACTTATTACATGCAATGCGGCTCCGAGACATCGCCGGGACTCAGGTCTTCTTTCAAGTATTGACGACGGTCCACTCCCGTCGGCGCCTCGTGTCGCCTGAGACGGGTACCCCGTCTATGAGATCTTCTGTGGTGTCAAGGCGTCTCGAGGGTGTGGACGAGTGAACGGGCGACTAATACTCATCTAGGACGTTGACGATCAGTCATCGCAAATGGGAACGCAGCGGCTGCTGCCGTGGCGGCTGACGGGTGGGCTTCGAAGGCGGACCGGCTGACAGGTCTCCGACAGATGACTGGGGTTTCGACGACGACCTCGATGCGGAAACGGAAGATCCCCCACCAGCTGGTAGATACGGGGATGGCCCACCCAGACTGGAGTTAGGACTTACTGAATGAGGTCATTTTGATCGCTTTCAGTGAGTTGTAAACGGGGTCACGTACACGGTACCGATCGGCGATGAGCAATGCGACAAGTGTGCTCTCGGGCCAAGAATTTCAAGGCGGTCAGATGCATGGCGCCGTGGTCGTTTACTTGAGCGGGACGATTGATGACTTCACGGCCGTCGTTAGTACGAGCTGCATGGAACGCATAAGTCGGCCGCCCCGGTTCATGGTGGTGAGGCAAGTTGCCTTGATCATGCTTTGTTGGATCTAAAACGAGACGATAGAGAGAAAAAGCAGAGTGCGGGTACTACCAAGACAAATTTGAGCGTTCCAACTTGAGCCAGCCGCCAGCCCGGGGTGGATGAGACCCCTGCGTTGGTGTCGACACGAGGGTCCACGTGACCGAGAAGACGAGTCCTCCGACTCCCGAGTCCGAGTCGGACCTCCTTACAGTTTACCTCTGCACTCACCCTACATCTCTAGTCCTTGCGTGTCCAGAGACATTCGACCATTCTCTACGTCTTACTTCCACCTAGCTGCCTCACTTTAGAAACGCTAATCGTCCCTCAATACCGGCTTCGCTGCGGCCCTTCACCTGCGTTTCCCTCGCGCTCTACACCAGGATCAAAGAGTCTTTCAATCTCCACGCCACCCACGATGTGCTCATGTATGGTGTGAGGCCCGAAACTCTCCCCAAAGTGCGCCCCGCATCCTTCTCTTCCGAACGACGGTGCTGACCTCGAGTCGCTGCTGCAAGTGCGACCACTTCACCACTTCCGTGGACATTCGTAGGACCAGTTCTGCTTGGATGAGCGGCGCAGCCTTAGGCACGTCTGCGGACAAGTTTGACGCACAGGCTATTGGTGAGTGTTTTTCTCGCTTCAAGACCCCGTTCTCATGAGCATAGTCGTTGTTTAGTGCGCCTGGTCCTTGTGTTTACCAACGCTTTCAGCCTCTGTCTACTGCGTCGTGTTATCCGTTGGCGATTCGCATGGCCAACATCAGTCATGTTTGCGCTGTTGTAATGCACACAGCTCTGGCACCTGCCGTTTTGGATGGGACGCACTCTGCCGAGTATGTTCCCGCTCCTTCCAGGTGAGTAACGAGTTCTCGAAGTTTTCTCGCGTTTGTCTTCTCGTATCAATGTGCCCACGGCCAACGTCGCACTGCACTCCATGCTGGAAAGAGCCCCAAACACTGTGCGATCGTTTTTAGGAGTCGTGCTCTGTGCAATCACACTCTTTACTTTCGCCACTGCCGTCGTGTTCCGTTCGGAATTGCTCTATTGATCGCTCATGACAACCCATAGAGTCGGCCTACGACAGGGCACCCTCTTTGGCCGCCTCCGTTTCCTAGCCATCATGGGCATGCTCCCCACGAATTGCGTTGCGACCTTTCTCCTGGCGCGCTCGTCGTCCGCGAACTATCAGCGAGCCGCGCTCTTCGGCGCATTCAACATTTTCTCCGAACGCATGTGTCCTTCCCCATTCCAGTTCCCCGAGCCAGCTCACTCCCGCGGCGCAGTGCATGTACACGCCTCTTATATCACTGCGCAGACCGGTGCATCCCTCTTTCTTCAAATTCCCGCCCTGCCCCAGCTGCCCCTCCTGCCGGTCCAAAAATCCGCATACGCGTACAAGAACTGAACATATCACAAGACCATCACACGTTCACATTAATAAATATTCGATTCGTACGAGCTTTCGTGTCTCCCAACACTGATTGGTCCCCGCTGTCGATACCTGACCGCCAATTTCCCCTCCGATCCGAACTCTCGCCATGATTGCGGCACACGGCATCACATTGGCGCGCTGAGCGGCGACGCGTTCCAGCTCCATGCTGCTGCCCCCATCCCCGTCATCGTCTCCCCCTCTACCGTCGTGGTCTCCGTCTCCATCATCTGTGCCCTCGTCCTCGCCGTCCTGACTCCGCATCCCGGTTGTCGTCCTTTCACCTCTTCAAGTTAATCGCTGACTTGCGGGCCCGAACAAAACCACTGCGCTGTTGTCCATACTTCGGCCGTCTCCCCGCTGGCGTAGCCCCCACCGACTCCGAATCTGACGAGACGGATTCTGACGATATGGACTCTGACGAGACGTCATCTGACGGGACGTAGTCGTTGGTCGCTCGTGTATCGGTGGAGGAGTTGCTCGCCTGAGAGTGCGGGGCAGGCTCCCACGCGCTAGAGGTCCCGTCCTCCGTGCCAGCTTCTCCAGCTTCTAGTTGTCGTTCTACGAATCCTGCAGCCTTCAACCTCTCAGTCAATCTCTGGATGGGCTTGTTTCGAATGTTCTTCTGGAGCATGTTGAAAAATTGTGGTAGCTGGTATGAGTCAAACACATGTCAGTGTTGTAGAATCTTCAAGAGGTGTTCGTACAGAAGCACATACCCGCGCCTGGTTCCCGGGGGAGGGTTAGTGTTGACAAACCCACCCGGTGGAGCAAAGAGGTCGCAAGTACGTCGAAGTGATTTGAACCGCGCAACGAGCGGGTACTCCAGAGCTTGGAGGAACGCGGGTGAAAGCGTAACCGCCTGGTAGTGAGCTGACAACATCTTGGTTTTCTTATTGTGCCATCGGGATTTTTCGGATTTCGAAACAACGAAGACGGGCTCGTTGGCGTATAGCACCTGAGGAAGCGCTCGAGTACGGAAGATCGAAAGTTGCTCTTCGAGCCGTACGCGAAACAAGCTGAGCGCTTCTTCCGCTAGGGTCGAGGCATCGGGAGGGATTGGGATTTCCTTCAATCCCTTCACATACGTATCCTCGTCCAGATCTTCGGGTCGCTCCCAGAGGAGTTGTGCGAACTGACCGCCGACAATCAAGAAAGAATAGAGTTGATTGAGATCAGGGTTGTGGAGGAATTCGATCATGGCTTGATTATAGACTTGCTCGAAGGAAGTTTTCATCACCGCTTCCGCGTCTGCCCGGGCCTGCTTGGAAAACCAACTGGAGACTGGATACTGGCGCTTCAGCTCCCAGATGTCGATGATCTGACGCGAGAAGGGGAAATGGTGTCGGTGCTTCGAGGAAAGTTCATCGGGATTCACCGCTAGACCGAGGACACGAGCGAAATCCCCAATGAGTTTGCCAGATTGTGCGGCTTCTCTGGCAGCAGTGGTAACTGTGGGGGCCTCCTCCGAGTCAGAGTCAGGATCCTGGGGAGCCGCCTCATTCTCGGCGAGGTTGAAACCCAATAAGGGCTGAGGGGCCAAGAAAGCGCCGAGGTATGGCCCGGCATCATCTGTCGGTGGCAGTTCGAGGGTCATTGACTGGATCGTGGCGATGTGGTTGTAGAGGGGGTATAGGTAGGCCTCAAAACGCTGGTGTCTTGCAGCGTCTTGGACAAGAAGGGAAAGCATCTGGTTGAATCTGGCCAGAGTGTAGGTTAGAGTTGTCGGTTCTGCTGGGATCTCTCGCGAAGGAGGCTCTTGAGCCTGCTACAGAACAATGGTTTAGGTTTGGCAACCGGAGTAGAGTAGAGATTCGAGATGATGGACTTACAGGCCTAGCAGTCTTTTTCCCCGCGCGTGGACGCGAAGGCCGTGATGCCATATCGTCGGTGGGAGAAATTATACGTGGGCGACAAGTTTCAGAGCGGGATCTGCACGTACGTATATATACACATCGTGGTCGCGGCTGGCCATGAAAACTTACTCATTCGAGCACAAGCATGGTCCACTTGGCGGAAAGGAATCGGAGATATGTCGGAATTCGGGCGAGTCTCGCGACAAGAACGTTTCCTCTTTAGAACACAAAGGCAGAAAAATAGGCGGTGATCATGATGAGGAAATTGCAAAATCCTGACTACAAGCCAAGTTCCCGAATCCCAGTGCATGAAGTTTCCTCATCTGAATATAAAGACAGAACAATTGACAGTGAGAGAACAAATGAACTTCGGGGTTCGTGTGAGAGCAGAATAATGAACACCTTGTCCAAGCGCAAAGACGACACAATTGGCCGTGAGAGACAAGTCATAGTCCAGGCCACTGCACGGTCGAGAGGGTCGAAGATGAAGGACCTCGATTGCGTCAGGGTTCCCACGCCACATCGCACGCGTGGTTTGATTCGGTTCCGTTGCTATATACATGACGTCCTGAACCTGCTGCTCTCCACATCTCCCTGAGCTTCCTTACACTGGATATCCTCCCTCCCGATGAAGCACCCTACTTTGGCCGACGAGCGTCGTCCATCCAACAGCGACACCGAGTCTGATGGTAGTGACACTACTGCTATGCTTCCGTCAGCCTCAAGCTCCGACCATGTTTCCCCTCCCCCATCCACCGACAGTGGGTCCACCGACAGCGGATCCACCGACAGCGAATCCACCGACAGCGAATCCACCGACAGCGAAGCAGACGTGAGCGTCGATGAGAACGACCCATGGATAGTGGCTTTCAATGCAGTGCGTACCATTCTCCCGTGCACTCGTCTCTGTCTTCTAAAGTCTGGTGCGTGTGTAGCGTGTCGCTCGCGCTCTCATCAAGTTCGCGCCGCAACCCGCGCTCCCCCAGTCACAGCTATATAATGGCAAGAATCGCCCCCCTCTCTGGCGATTCGGCTACGCCTTCGATTTGGACGTCGCCTTCGAGTACGCCGTCCGACACAAACTCAGGATGCTACCCGGCGTTGACAAGGCGGCCGAGGTTCCCACCTTTGAGGAAGTCCTTGCTCGAGAGGGCAAATCGGCGAGTGGTATGACGATGACCGCCCTCGAAATCATGGCAGAAGACCTTAGCAAGAAGTGCGACTTCCTCTTGGACACTTCGCGTACGCTCTCGATTGGCCCGGATCTCAAGTTCGTTGCCTACCTGTGGTCGAACTACGACTACAACGAGCGGATACGTTTCTGCCGTGACTACGATCTCGTCCTCCACATCCTCGACGAGGCGTTCAAGCCGTTTCCTGGAGCGGTAGCTGAACCATTCTGGTACATCGATGTGGACAATGATTGTCTGGTACGTCGCAGCATCTGTCTGTGCGATGAAAATTTCTCACGTCGAGAACAGGGAATATAGCTCACTTGCATGAGCACTGAGGACGGTGCCGCTGGCCAACCGAAGAGCATCGAATCAGGCTCGTGGCGGTAGGGTCGGCGTTTGTCAAAGAACACAACACGATTGAGATGCTGTTCACATGTGCGGAAGCCACATACCTAGACGCGTTTGTAGCCTTGGCATGCTGTTTCTTCGTAGCCTGAGTCGCAATTTACGTGCATGGTGAATACCAGCAGGGACAACTCTCGGCCATTCGCGCGCGTCGCATTCGTACCGCCCGCAGACGCTTTGTGACCTGTTTCATCGCCCCGACTCCGGAATGTGGCCCATACAGGGTATCAACGTATATTGTCAGAAAACAAGGCCGGGAGTACAGGCGGACGATACACAGTCGTTGTACCAAAGACCCAACTGTTTCAGGGGAGAATGGAAGAGGTGTAATTACAATCCAAAGGGCGGTAGATTATCGACAAATATAGCACAAGATATAAGGAGAGTGGGTGAGGGATTACAGGGCTACGGGCAGGGAGCGTGTTGGGATTATGATATAAGAGAACGGTGCGCGAAGTACGATCATGTACGCAGCGAGGAGCTGCAGTTGTTGTGTCTAACCAGACAACTCTCGGCGGAAATCACGGATAAAGTTCTTGAACGGCTGGGTGATCCAGCTCAAGAATCCGGGGTTTTCGCTCGTAGTGGGCTCGTAGGACTCCCCGCGTTGGCGGACGGTGCGGTCGGGGGCCTCTTCCGCGTCTTCCTCCCGTGACCGCTTCTTGCTCTTCTGCGGGGTCGACTGGTGCTCCGTCCCCACCACAGTCTCCTCCGTGGAGGCGACGGAAGGGGGCGATCGCAAAGGAAGTTTGCGACTGCGAACCATCAGTACTGAAACAACGAGCAGAGTAGACTGGGTCAACGTACTCGCACGTGGTCTTGTGCTGTTCCCAGTTCGTCAGGTCATATTCACGGTCACTCTCGGATTTGACGACGACGCTGCAGTGACCGCAAGCGATGGAATATTCGGCGAACTCCTTGACTTGCGAGTCGTTGACCAAACGGAGCTTGCGTTGGGCAGTGGCAACCCGAGTGCTTGGGCTACTCATATGCTGTCAGAAGATCTCCCCAGGTAAAATAGCATAATTACGCACGTCACGCCGTTGCACTTGGACGAATGGCTGCGCCATGGTGAGAGGGAGTAGCGTGTGTTTGTCGCAAGTTTGATCCAAGTCGAGCAACCCTTGCAGAAGACCTTGTTTGGGAGCACTTCGCCGGCGTTGGGACTGGCCTCGATGATCGCCTTGCGATCTTCCTCCTTCATGACGCGCTTGTTCAGCCCGGGCGTGCCAGTGATCGAAGGGGCCACCGAAGCGTTCTCGTCTTTGTCGTCTTCTTCGCTCGAGCTACCCCGAATTGATCGCAATGTAGAAGACGCAGCACAAAGACGCACCTTTCCGACTCCTCCTTTCCGCACCGCTTGCGGTGCGCCACCCAACGCTTCATTATGTACCTCAGTTTGGGGTTGAGGTCGACCCATTTGCTACAAGCTTTGCAGTACATGCGATGTGGCTCGACTTCGCCGGAGTTCGGGTCTTCCTCCAGGAATTGACGACGGTCTGCCTCCGTCTTCCGCTGGCGCCTCGTGTCGCCTGAGACGGATACCTCGTCTATGAGATCCTCTGAGGTGTCGAGGCGTCTTGCGGGTGTGGATGAGTCGATAGTATACTGACAGATCAAAGAGAACTCACTGGATGGAAGAGCGGGGCTTGACCACGGAACCAGCTTTTGACACCGGCTTCGACACTTGCTCTTCACCGACTAGGGTGTCTTCGCGAGCAAGCGACGCGACGGATCCGGTACGGGAATGCGGGGCTCGCTTCTTCGTGCTTGCCGACTTCTTTGCAGAGCCCATCTGACTCGCAGGGGTGGCTTTGGGCGACGGTCCGGGGAGGCTATGATACAGGTTCGTGGACGCAATGCAGACAGGCAGAGCAAGTGACTCACTAGACATCGACTTTCTTCGGCGTTCTGGACGACATCTGAAAGCTTTGATGAGATCGCGTAAAGAGGGAACAGTGGGTGGGGTGCGGGGGAGATGGAGGAAATATGAGCGTGGGACAGGTCTTAAACATGCCTCGTCTTAACTGCGACCGCAAGCTGCCCCCGCGTACATCGGCAACACCTCCTTTGCTCCCGCCTCCAACCACAATCCGACACGGGAGAAACTCACCTTCTCTGCGCGAGAGGACTTGGCCGGCGAAGGCTCGGATTCGGATTCGCTCTCGGAGGGTCTGAGACGGGGAAAGTCAGGGGTTGACAACGGGGGGTCGTCGCGTGGGCAGACACACCCGGTGTCCTTGTAAGTGGCGTCGCGCACTGTCCGCTTCTTCTGCGCGCGTTCGACGCGGTCAGTGGTCACCAGACAAGACGCGGGGGCGCGCTGGTGAATTGGCTACACACCTTGGCCCGGCCGCTGTAGGTAACTTTACTGGGGGCCCTGAGCGCGCAAAGTAAGTACCACACCACCCGACGGGATACAGCAGGCGCATTCTGACCTAGTGGGGGACGAAGATAACGCGTCTGCCATGAGAAGAGATGGGAGTGGCCGAGCAAGAGGCTCCTTGCGGTGATCCTTGGTTGATCTCGCGGCAAATCTTTATTAAAGGCCCGGTAACTTATGTACCTGTATTTACCCGCCCAATCATTCCACAAATTCGTGTGCTCAGACTCAGCACCTTGAGCCTGATCCTGCCTGATCTCGCCAACCACTGACCTCTCTGTTCTGCTCTTGGTTCCGCCCTTTGTGCACTTCCCGGGTATTGAATGCTATAAACATGGGAACGATAGATATAGCAGCACCGGAAGACTTTCTCTCTGACTCCCTCGAATCCCTCTACGACCATGTCCCCGTCGCCCATTCCACCGCAGGGAGCCTGTTCACGTACCAGCCATTCACCGGAGGGCCGGTCATATCCCTCATGACCCCCGATACACAAGCAGCGAACTGGGATCTTCACGCCTCCTCGATATGGTCTTCTTCCCTCTATGTGGCTGAGCACCTCGACGACCTCCACCTACACAAGTTCGCATCGATAACTCAGCAGGAAAGCCGGCCTCTACGAGTCCTCGAGCTCGGCGCGGGCGCAGGTCTACCGAGCATCCTTCTTGCCAAAACCTTCCACAATGTCTTCGTGACCTGTAGCGACTACCCGGACCCGGACCTCATCGGGACACTGGCGGAGAACGCCAAACGGAACGAAGCCGTCGACCGCTGTCGCGTCGTCCCGTTCGCCTGGGGATCCGATCCTTCTCCTCTTCTCCGCTCCCAGGCTGCACACACCGATGCCGTCCCTGGGTTTGACGTCGTTCTCGCCGCAGACACGCTGTGGAACTCGGACACGCACCGTCTCTTTGTAAAGTCGCTGCAAATCACGCTGAAGCGGGCACCTCATGCACGCATACACTTGGTCGCAGGCTTGCATACGGGGCGGTATGTGCTCGAGTCGTTCCTGAAGCTCATGCCCGAGGCCGGGTTCGTTGCAGAGCAGCTGGAAGAGAGGCGAGTGGGCGGGACGGAGGAGCGAGCGTGGAGCGTGGAAAGGGCGGATGGCGAGGATGAGCAAGAGAGGCGAAGATGGGTTATTTGGATGGTGTTCAAGTGGGCAGACTGTTAGTGGCTCTCGGTATGTGCGGTCAGTATGCTTTCATATCAATCTCAACCTGCTTGCCCAGCTTCCCTCTGCCATCCGCGCATTTTTACTCCGAACAAGGCACAATTGAATGCTACTCCATGGACTCGTCTACACACACCAACGGACGCCATTTTAACCAACTTCTCACACGTCTTTTCTCCACCGTTTCCGCGAAATCCTCCACCTCCACCCACTGCAATCCACGCTGCGAGTACTCGGCCGACCCAGGAGAACACGTGAAGTACGTAGATGAAGTCACCGACGTTTCGGTCGACGACCGCAGCGACCCGTCATGCACGCGAAGGCTCGGCGAGGTCCACTCAAACCATGGGTGTGGTGCATCTCCATCGGCGCTGTATGGTCTACCGTACGAGATCTCGACGTCCTATACGGCCGGCTTCAGCAAACTAGCATTAGGTCGACGCGAAGCAAGAGTCACCTCGTCAGTGACAAGCACTTCCAGCCCATGGGTGGGTCTTTCTGGCGACGTCGGTATCCCCGCTTCCAGGGCTTTCCAATCCCTGTGGACTATGGTCAGTTTCCGGCTGTACGGGCGACGCGATATCACTTCGACTCACACTCCACGAAACCACGGATGCTTCTTCAACTTGCGAATGCTCGGCCGCTTCGTCGGGTTTTTCTCCAGCATCTTCGTCAGTAGATCTCGAGCCTTCGGTCAACATCGTCGAGGCCAAATGTCGCAGGCCAACAATCCGTCCTATCGATTATCTCTGCCAACCCCTGGGTCTTCGGGAGCAATCCGAAAGGCAGCTGTCCAAGTCCACGAGTCAGCGACCAACTCTCCGGATTCACGAGGACACCCACCTTCCCCGTCAGCATGCAATACAAGACCACCCCCGCCCCCCACACGTCCACCGCATACGAGTAGCACCCCGAGTAGACCTCCGGCGCGATGTACCCCGGGGTCCCGACCAACGCGTGCGAAACCTCCCTCCCGCCTCCCTCCTCTGCCTCCCCGCCCATCCGCCGCCCGTCCCACGCAGCGACGCCGCTCCACGCCGCGCCCGTTTCTTGCGCCGCGAAGTCCCGCGCGATCCCAAAGTCCGCGAGCACGAGCCGGCCGTCGTCCGCGAGCATGACGTTGTCCGGCTTCACGTCCCGGTGGACGACGCGCCGCGCGTGCAGCCGCTCGAGCGCGACGAGCAGCTCCGCGCACCACGCCCGCGCCCGCGCCGCGGGTGCGGTCCCGTGCCGCTTGAGCCACTGCATCAGGTCCCCGCGCGGGTAGTAGTCCTGCTCGGCCCAACCACCGGACGGTCAGCGGCGCCCCTAGGACGGAAAGACGGCAAAATGGCGCGCACCGTGAGCAGGTAGAAGTTGTCCGTGTCCTCGAAGCTGCCCCGCAGCGGCGCGAAGGTGTGGTCCCCACCGCGGGCCCCGGGAGCCCCCGAGCCTTGCGTGGCGAACGCGCGCCCGAGGGCTTGCTCGCAGAAGATCGCGGGGTAGTCGCGCAGCGGGAGCCCATTCTTCGCGATGACCTTCATCGCGAGGCGCTTTTCGGAGACGGTGTCCTGGACAAGGTACACGGTTCCGTGCCCCCCGCGGCCGAGCATGCGCAGGGGGAGGAAGTCGGCGGTGGTCAAGGACCGGGGAGGCTTCGGGGTGCGAGCGGGGGTGCTGGTAGGCGGCGAGGCGAAGGGCGGGGGCGAGAAGGGCGGCGACGAGGGCGAGAGCGAGAAGTTGGTGATGGACCGCGGTAGGTGGTGGAGGGTGTGGGTGAGGGGGGCAGACAGGGCGGAGAACGACGAGAGGCATCGGCGGAGGGGAGACTTGAGTGGGCTTGGCTTATAAGACAACTCGTCTTCGGGAATGCTGATGAAATCGTGGTCGAAAAGCGTCTGTAGGCATGTCAAGGTGGTGTGGAGGACGACTATAGCAGACGTACGTCTTCGGTGCCGTCAAAACCCATGGTGCTCGCTTAGTGTGTCCGATGGGCTAAGAGCGAGAGCACGGCGAGGAGACGAGGCTCTGGTACGAACCATGCCTGCTGAAGGTCACCGACACTGCGGGGTGATATGGCATACCAGGGCTGACGGGCTGACTCCAGCGAGGAACAGGTCAGCCTCGTTCCAGAACGTGTTGGGCCCAGACCGACAGATGCGAGGAGAGACAGATATCGGTCCCGATTCGAATTCGTGCACTCTCGTCTTTGGATAAGTTTTTGTGAACCACGGCGTTGCGAAAGCGACGCTCAAACTTGAACGAAGTGAACGCAGAGACTTGGAAATAAGGATACATGTATTAGATTACATCCGACGTGCAGTTGCGTGGAGGTACAGATCTAGCAGTCCGAGGAACCATACCGATCGGCATAAAGCAAGTGAGGACAAGTGGTGTCGCTTGACGACTACTTGGACGACATGACGTAGCCCGACGTATCCAGGACTTGCTTGCCGCATATTGCACACACACCTCTCTTATACGCGCAGCCTAGAGACCGTTGTTGATCGCAGAAGGATTATGTAGGGCCACAACGAGACTCACCATGACAGTATTTCGCCTTGTTCTGCGTCACCGTCGACTTGCAGTCCTTGCATTTACCTTGGTAAGGCTGACAAGGGAGTTGCAGTCAGCCGCACCTTTCCTCCCGCAATGCATGGCGAACGCACCTGGAACCTGTTCCTAGAGCTCCCTGGCCTACTCAACAACTTGTTCTCCCCAACTTTCCGCGAGCCTTCCTTGATCGACTGTGAGGTCGACTGGAACGGGTCAGGTGCAGCAAGTTTGGATGTTTTCTGAAGTTGGGGAGGCCGTAAGCACGAAGCGACAAGCTAGTCAGGGCTCAATACGCACAGTCTCGCATTTCTTGCAGACCATTATGTGTCGTGGGTCAGAACTGGGGCGAGGAAAGGAGAGAGGAGATGAGGGTACCTGCTGGAGCGGTCTGCGCCAGGCCACAGCTGTATTGCCGCACAGTTACGTAACACTATTCCAAAACGACTTGATAACCGGCGCCTAGAACTTGACTTCAAACCACTGTCTCCACGTACGAGACCAAACCCGCGAATAGCACTTTCGAGCTTTAGCAGCTCAGAATGTTCCGAGGAGGCCGGCTTGGGGCTGAGAATCCGGTTCGAAACCCAACCACCTGCCGTCTGGGCTCTAGAGGCTGACCGTGTTGAGTTCTTCTGTAAGCTCCTCCTCTCATGGCGCATCTGGCTTACCTGTTCGCCTTCATTCCCTACGTGCCTGCAGGACACGCTACTACAGTTGCACTCGGAAGTTATTGCTCCACGACGAACAACCGCATAGACCCTAGCAGCGGCCACTTCTCTGGGGAGTGCGGCGACACCCGTTTCTGTTCTGGCCCAACGAACGGAACGTGTCAGCCACGACTCTGTCGACGCGACGAGTTTCCCTTCGGCTTCGATCGTGGGACGGTTCTCCCTCCTCTCTGCAAGAACGGGACGTTCTGCCCAGACGAAGGAAGCGGCTGCAAGCCACTCCTCTCGGTCGGCGAGACGTGCCAGTACGACCGCGACGACCAGTGCGCACCGCCGGCCCCGGCGAAGTCCCACATCCTCGCAGGCGTGCGAAATGCGGAGGAGGCTGTTTGTCTCAAGGCCAAGTGCATGTACGCGAGTCATATGTTAGGTCCCATGTGTATCGAACTGACACGGCGACCTTCACAGGCACGCAAACGGGACGCTCGGGCACCCGTGCGTCCTCGATACCGCGACGTACTCGGACGGCGAGTTCACGAACACGATCTTGCGCCACAACTGCCAGGCGCCGATGTTCTACTGCCACTCGACCGAAGGCGTATGCGTCCCTACGCAGAAGCTCGGATTATCATGCACTTCCGACCAGGAATGCCGTTCGGTATGAACGCTATTGCTGCTCGCAGTCGGATTAGTCTGACTTCCGCGTGTAGTCTCATTGCGGCGTGGCTGGCGCATGCCTGGACCCTGCCGGTACGCCCGTCAACGTGGAGGTCTGGCAGCTAGTTATCACTGGACTGGCCATTCTCGCAGGCAAGAGCCTTCTGTTGCTGTTTGAGCTCTTTACGCTCACCACTATCGCACAGTGATGGTCTTCGTCACCGTATCGCTGGTGATAGTCCATAGGCGTCTTCGTAAAAAGAGATACGACGAAATCCGAGAATACTACGAGGAGCAAACCAAGTGAGTAGTATTGCATTGCGTAACTATTTTGTCTCATGTATGCCTCTCAGTCTTAGACGATGCCTCACGAAGTTGCATGCTGCAGCGTTGGACAACTACGAGAAGCAACGGAGTCGGTATGACTGAAGGAGCTCAATATCTACTTCGTCCCCTTTTACTTCTTGTTGCGATTTTACGCTGCCTTAAGACCGTTCATTCGACGTCTGCCAACATACATGAATTATCACTTGCTCTAACAATGTTTTTGCCCACCGGTGACAGTCACACGTGTATTTTTCAGTGACTGTCGTGATTGTCACCTTATCATCGGCGCTCATATGTGCCCAATCCTTCCTTCCGCGCACTCACGTTCTGAACACCCGACTCATATCCATAGCTCCTCTCAACGCATATAGTCAGCGCACATTTTGAGTATGGGAACTGAGGATCAGGCGAGAACATCCATATCGACAGGACGTGGATCTGAACTCCGTGCTCTCGCCACATCGTATCCTTTTCTTCAGCAGGTAAGTGAGACGTCCTCTTAATGATCATCGAACTCCTTTTCACGAAAGCCAGATCGACGTGGTCTTTCCCTCATCCTTGAGCTGGAGGCTACGCTTGGCAGCTTTCCTCCAACCCGCTACCAAAAGCTGCAGAGTACCCTCACAAACTTTCTGCGAGACGCGAAGACACATGTCCGCCAGGTACCACCCCAGAGGTCTGATTTCATTGACGTTCCTCTCGGGCTTGAGCTGCGGGCATTCTCACACTTGATCGCCCAGCAATATCGTCGCGCTGTCCATCCCAGAGGGCAACGGAGAAGACCTCTGGTGTCTGGACTCCACGGGAATTTTCACGTTGGTAGTGAGCAAGGACACGTACGAAACCCTCGGCATCGTCGGCAAGCGTATGCCGTGGAAGGACTGCGAAGACGTCCACCGTGAGCCACGCTCTCCTTGTCAAGCAAGCGCCATGCTCATACTCCAGCGCAACAGTCATACGACTTTCTCTTCGCGAGGCGGACTCTGCCAAACGAGACGTAACTCTCTGCGGTTCAAAAGAACTGGCGGCTTTGGAGAAATGGGATCAACGACGAGCTCCGTGGAACATTGCGTATTATTTTCTCGAGGGTATGTCGACGTCTGTGCTCCTCGGCGTGACGCTGAACTGTGCCCTTGTGCAGCAGAGGGAGCGTCACTTCTACAGGGGAGCGCTGCTTGCGATGTGAAGACCGTGGTACGGAAGCACCACAGTAATCATATTCCCGTGCTAGATCATCGATTCGGAGCGGAAGAATACGAAAGCGACGGAGCCTTCGAATATCGGATGTCGACGTTGTTTGAATGGGTCGGTTTGGCTAGCATCGGGTCGCAAAGGTGAGCGTCCATCCACCTACATGCTGTCTGTAAATGTTGAACGCGATCGCAGGTTGTCCTCCGTGGACCGGTGCGATCCCTACATCGCGGTGTACACGCCGCCGGAACGGTCTGAAGTCGGAGACGTCACCACCATACGGGTGCAAGGCCTGATATCGCCTCGTTTTGTGAAGTCCATCATTGACACAGTATGGTGAGCGTCTTCGATTGGGTACGCTGACGACTGTTCACTCGTCATCGCCAGGTCCCCAAATGCCCTGGACGTCAAGTTTGTGGCCGTCACGGCATCATGCATCCCCACTTCTCCCGTCACATATCTTCCAGACCGCGGCTCCCAGGGCCCGCCACCGCGTTTTCCACAAGCGGATTCAATGCATACGTGGACGGTCATCTACCGACGCGAACCCGGGGAGCCTGGTGCGAGCGGCTCGTGGGCTATAGCTGAAAGTGTCGGGGGACGGGACAAACGATGGGGATAGGGGTGTCGTCAGGATCGCACGCGGCCGCTCCTCCTCCCCGCCTGGATCCTGTCCAGCTCCAGCAGAAACGCATACGCCGCCGTGTTCCGCGTCGCGCCCCGCCACGTCGGCAGGTTCTCGTACCGTGTCTCCCTCCGCTCCCAGGCGCACAACACCCCGTCGCCCTCCAGCGCCGGAAACAGTGCGCTCACCGCGCGCGCCAGCCGCCCCGCGTCCGCCACCTTCAACCTCTCCGCCCACCGCGCCCCCGCCAAGCGCCACTGCACCAGTTGCCGCTGCCCCCCGCCCCCGGCACGCTCCTCCAGTAGCGCAATCTCCGCCTCGGACACGTCCGCGACGTTGACAAGCGCGGCCTCAAGCGCGCGGCAGTGCTCCGCGAGGCCGACGAGCGCGAGCACCGACGGCGCGCGCTCGGACGCGGGCGCGAGCTGCTCGCAGAGGCGGAGGTGCACGAGCGCGGGCCACGCGCGGGCCATGCGCCCGACGTCCGCGTCCGCGAGCACGAGCGCCGCGTCCGCGTCCCGAGAGGCGATCGGCGCGTCCACGCGGAGCGACTCGAGCGCACGGAGGTCGTACAGCGGCGCGAGCGCGGGGCGAGCGGGGCGGCCGGGGCGAGCGCGAGGGTGAGCGCGCGGAGGGACGCGCCGAAGCGGGCGTGCGGGGCGCAGAGCGCGGGGAGCGGCGCCGGCGTGGGGAGCGTCGCGGCGGCGCACGGGGCGGCGGCGAGCGCGGCCCAGAGGGGAGCGAGGTCTGCGGGCGGCGGGCAGACGAGCAGCGAGAAGGCGCGGAGGCGGGGAAGGCGCGGGACGGCCAGAGCGGCGGGGGCTCGGGGTGCTCGAACGGCTTGAGGTGGCGGCAGAGGAGGGCGTCGAGGTGCGCGAGGTGCGCGAGGCACGAGAGGGCGCTGTCGGTGAGCGTGGCGACTTCGATCCGGCGGAGGGCGCGGCAGGCGGCGAGGGAGACGGCGTCGAGAGAGCTCATGTGTCGGACGTCGATGGCCTGGAGGTGTGGGCAGCGCTCTGCGATGATGCTCAGGTCTCTCCGAAGTTTTGGCCACCAATTGGCCTGCGCTGAGCAAAGGGTGGTGACAGAGGGGGACACCAGAACACGCAGCACCCGCGATCTCCGGTAGACTTCGGCCTCTCGATAGGTCGCCCGCCACGAGAGGGTCTTGAGGCGGGGAAAGAGAGTCTCACCGCCGAGCTTGTCGGCGAGCATCTCCCATACGGAAGGACGGATTTCCAGGTCCTTGTTGGACCCCTTCCCCGACCAGTACCCGATTTGATGTACGCGCGCAGCACAGCGGCGGAACGCTGGCCAGTCGTCAGCGATCAGTGGACCACTGTTCTGGATAACAGCGAGCGATGAATGAGACGATGGACGACATACGACGGACGCACGTACAGGTAAGGTAACGGGCCAGTTGGGTCCTGGGGGAAGACGACGGAAGCCGCCTATGCGGATGAGCGTCCAGACGTTGCCGTCGAAGAACGCTTCCCAAAGCGCATCACTTGCTGGCTCGGAGAGTGCGCGACATGTGAGCGCGAGGTTGAACAGCGCACGCTGGCGGCTCGCGCGATCATAACCATCCCGTGTCGGTCGTGCCCAGTCGTAGGTTACGAGCGCGTCGATGATGATCCGCAGGATCTCGTCGACCAGTAGAACCTGGTGGGACGCGGGGGACATGGAGTGTGGACTTGGCACAGGAGATCACAGCCAGGGAGGGCGGCGCTGTGTTGAGCCCGGGAGAGATGGGCGTCGAAGAGCATACCATCTTCCGTGGCTTTCAAGGTCACCACGGTTGCCAGCAACGAGTACATCGCGAGCGCTGTGGGCATCGTGAGCGTCGTGGCGAGCGCGAGCGCGTGATGTGCGTGGTCGTGACTCGGTGCCGATCCCGGAGCGGACTCGGATCTCCCTGCTTTGCGCATCGGAGGAGGCGCCGGGGGTGCTCGATGACGCAGCAGGCGTGCCTGGGCACCCAGACAGCTCCCGCGCGCAGAAGCCAGCTTGTGTCGTCCGCTCCCTCGTCTGCTCCCTCTCTCGCGCTATTTTTGGCCCACAGGCTCGCTCGCTCGCTCGGTTTCGACGGCCGTCACGGCCTTGGACACGCGCTCGAACGCAGTTGGGTGCATACAGCCACCCTCCAGCCGCGTCCGTTTCTCGTCTTTCTTCTCCGCGTGCTCCATCCGCTCACCTCGTCTCCAGCTGCATTCGACGCCGCCGCGTCAGGCCTCACCACCTCAGCGCCCGGCTTTTGTATGCTGCCTCACCCGCCCGTATCGCGTTCACGTCCTCCGCTCGCCCTTGGCGCCTCGTCTCCCTCCACGCCCAGTGTGCCGGTCGCTCGAGCCCTCGCTCGTCCCCATCTCATCCCTCGCCTTTACTCCCGCTGTCCCAGCCGCTGGTACCGTACCAGGCATTCACTGTTAGGTCACTGTATGCGTGCATACAGCGAATCCAGTGCCTCTGCTAGCCGGCATCGTCCGCGAGCAATCCATTCGCCCGGCCTAGCGCCCCAGCAGCTCCCACACGTCAACAGCTGACCGCATGCGCGCATACATCAAGACCAGTTGCGCTGCTGGTCAGCCTCTCCTCGTCCCCACATTGCCCACCAACCCGGGTCGGTACGCATCCGAACATGCGTCTATCAGAATGTGTGCTAACCTATACTTGCGGCCATGTTCCTGCTCTCTAGCTTCGCGTCCGTGGGCCAATCCCAGCCGGCGCCCTCCGTCCGTCGAGCGCATCTGTGAATTCAAGATCCCTACGAGTCCCTCCGAGCTACCGGTCCACCGCGACGACACGTAACTGGTAACCAGGACGTCTCGTGGTGCGCCTACAGTTGCCTCCGCCGTCACCATTCATCTAACCAAGCTCGCCCAACACAACGCGGCTCCCGCACAAAGGCAGTTGGAGATGCCGACGTCGTGGACGTCCTCGCTCTCGACTTACGACACGATGTTGCTGGCCCACTGGCTCGCTCGGATGCGCGCTCCAACGCAGTCCTCGACGGGGTGCATACAGCCAACCCTCTGTCTGCAGAAGCGTACGCGTGTTCCATCCGCTCATCTCATCCCCCGCCGTCCTCAACACCACGTCTTTTCTCCCTTCCCGGACCCGGTTCTTATATGCTGCCTCACCCTGCTGTCAGCGCGTTCACGTCCGGTCGCCCGTCATCCGGCTATCGTTGGCGCTTTGTCGCATTTCTCTACGACCCTGCATCGGCCTCTGTTCCGATTCGCCCTGCACCCGCTGCCCGCTGCGTACCAAACCACCTCCACATGCCGTCCAGCAACGCCCGGTGCGCCGATCGCTCCCACCGTCTCTCGTCCCCGTTTCCAACCGCTTGCAGGTGAGCACAGCACCCGGCACTCGACACACGGTACACCTACATTCCTCCTGCCTCGCTAATACAGCTCCCATACACGCCATTTGAGCACCCGTGATGCCAACACACCGACCTGCAACGCTCGTTGGACGCCATGCGTTCGTCAGCATCCATTGAGCAGGGTGTATGCGCGCGCATCTCGTCCGGAAGAAAGACCAGTTGCTCTGCTGGTCCGCCGCTCCGCGTCCTCGAGAGATCCCCATTCGCCACGTCGTCCCGACCTTGCGCGCGAGCCTGAGTAGGTACGCGTCCGACCTTAGATCCACTAGAATTCATGCCACACGTTTCATCTGTGCGTGGCAGCACGGTCGATCCGTCCTGTCACTGAACGGCCTGCTTCTGCGCGGCGCGAATCCGCCTCAACACCTCCGTGCCGACATCCCGTCCTCCGCCGACGGAACATACCATCTCGTCACATCGAGATCCCGATGCGACCCTCCGAGCTACAGGTGCCCTGCGATGACACGTAACTGGGGACGTCTTGTGGTGCGCCTACAGTCTTCTCCATCTAACCTTGCTCGCCCAGCAGATCTCACGCGTGCACTAGCGGTGTCGACCACGACGCTATCGCCACTGCCGCCGCCGCCGTGTGTCTGGCAATCCAAGGGCTCCCGGGAGAAGATGGTGTCCGTATTGTGAGCACGGACGCGTGTAGTCGTGATAATGCACTCACCGAGCACTGTTGCAATGACCAAATGACTGGTCGTGCGGACCGGGGCCTGCCACCACGTCGTTGTGGATGACACCCTGACAGCACGCGATGGCTGGCGTCCATTCGTCGCCGTCTCTGTGAGTGCCCCGTCATCATTCCAGTAATTGCTTTCTGATGCACCTCGGTCCGTGCAGGGTCGTGTACCGGGAGGACGGAGAACGCGCTCCTGTACCAGCGCCGCGTATTTTGAATGCAGTCGCGTACCCGTCCCGCTTGTGTGAGTGACGCAGACGGCTTATTCTGGGTGCGCTTTGTCTCGCTGCCGTCCCTCGTCTGCAGCGCCGCGCTCAAGAACGGGCCCGTTGTCGTGATTTCACTCAGCAAGAACCGCCGCTTCTTGCACTGGAAAGCTCTCGCTGCCCATGCAGCACAGACCTTGCGTACCGGACGCAATACCCTTGTGGAACCAATCTCGCCGCAAACGTACAGGGCAGCGCGTGTGCGGGGCTGCGCCGTCCGAGTGTCGGCGACTGGATTGGCCACCGCTTCACAGCGCAGCGCCACGACCTAGTGGGCCGACGTCACGGCTCCGGTCGTGTGCGTTCGGCTCTCGACGTGCACGCCGCGGAGCCACACGTATAGCCCTTGAGCGCAGACGTACCGGGTCTACGTTCGCTCTATGGTGTGTCTCAGGCTCCGAGTGACACACTATGTGTTCCTCTGCCAGACGTGCGGGCGCACCAGCCTAACCGACCGTTCCACAAACCATTCGACGGTGCACTCGTCTAACACACCCCGACGCCCGCAATTCACTCTTGCGTCACGGTGCCCAAGGCCACCTCGTCCAGTCCGAACGCCACCGCGGGACACCCCTGGCTCGGTGCGTCTGTTTGCGCACGGCAATGATATCTCGTTGCCGCCGTCTCCGTGAGTGTCTCATCATGACACATACCGACC